AAAATAGGGTTATACTGGAAGAACGCCAACCTAAACGTAAATGAAAATAAAAACATGGACTATTAGAATGGTACTTGAATATTATTTTTTATCTGAAATAAATGAGCTTTCCTCACAGCTCTTCTCTATTCTATTTCCTCTAAAGTCAGCACTGCCGTTTGAAAGTTTCTGTGTTGACTCAAAGGAAGGGAACGATCAGAACTGCACACCTCCCAAGATCTGTGTGGCTCGGTGAGCAGGTGAGCAGATGAGCAGCCCCCTGGCTGTGGTGGTCCAGAGACCTGAAAGAGAACAGCAGCTTCGCACCAGCAGGCAAGCAGCCTTGCATAGCTTCACATTCGAAAAGAATAATAGCGGGGCTGGAGAGATGGCTCAGTGGTTAAGAGCACTAGCTGCTCTTGCAGAAGACCCAGTTCAGGTTTCCAGCACCCACATGGCAGCTAAAAACCATCCATAGCTCCAGCCCCAGTGGATCTGATACCCTCTTCTGACCTCTAGTGGCACTGCACGACATGGGTGCACTTGCATGCATGTAGGCAATACATTCATACACATACAACAATAAATAAAATTTTTTTCAAGGAAAAAAAATACATTTACACTGAAGGACATTTGGGTACAAACACCTGAATTAATAGGACTCAGCATGTAGGGTGGAGTGCATAAGTTTCAGTGGGAGGATGAGGGAGGCATGGGGATTGGGGAGGGGGTCTGGATTTGAGTGGGAAATATATGAAATTTTAAAAGTGCAATAAAAAAATTTTAAGTATAATAGCAACTCCTTCAAAAGGTTATCATAAAGATTATATATGAAAAAATATTTAATATATTTACTTCTGTGCTAAATACTAATATAAAGACATTGATGGTATTTTAAATTAGTATTTCAGGAATTATTGCAACTACATACACATGAATAATTGAAAGATAGAACCTGATATACAGCCACCTAAATATATTTTGTGAATGTAAACTGAGTACTTGTAGAGTTTATTTCACAATAAAAAATATTATTGAGAGTGATGCCAGTTTAGATTCCTTTAGAAATACTTCCACAACTCTCAGCAACCCCTCTGTCCTTAGTGCCAAATAATGAGATTTCTTCCCATTTTACAGAGAAAAAGAAAATTAACCAGAGGCAAGTTTGTGCAGCCTATTGCCACACCTCCCTGCCCCACCTTCTGCATCCAGAACGCCTGCTCACTCACCACCAACTGCACTCACCACACCTGTCCACCCACCATGCCTGCTCACTCATTGTGGATCCCTACCTTCCTTCCTGATACTGGGTAAGTTCCCTGTGCTTCTTCCTAAAGCTAGAACCGCCATGTGTGCTCTAAAAACCACTTCTCCTCAGGAGCACTAAAAAATGTTCGTTCTATTTCAACATCTTCATGGTATTTCTATGGTAGATCAAATTCCAACTTTTTTAGGAATCACCACACTGATAACCATAGTGGCTGTACCAGTTTATACAGTTTATACTCCCATCTGCAGTGGGTGAGAGTGCCCCTCTCCCCACATCCTCACCAGCATTTATAGTTGGTTTTTGTTTTGTTTTGTTTTGTTTTGGCCAGTCTGAGTGGAGTAAGATGAAATTTTAATGTGGTTTAATTTGTATTTCCTTGATGATTAAAGATGTTGATCATTTTTAATGTCTATTTCAGTTATTTGCAGGAAGATTGTAAGAGTCAGAGGTGGTAATGAAGAGAGGGAAACAGAGCTTTCCAGACAGCTGGACAGTTACTCATATGAACTCACAGCAATGGTGACAGCATGCAGAAGTCCCATGTAAACTTCAGCCAGAAAAAAATTCCAGCTTAGATGTGGGGAAGTGGATAAGAAACCCCAACTCTACCTGAGGAACTATTGTCTGCTAGCGGGGGGAGAGTCAGTCTATTTAAAGGCATGACTCTTGATAGGTTAACCAGGTTCCAGTGGATGGAGCCACACCAAGGGGCATTTGGGGACACAAATTTGACTTCTATGTATGATATATATGATTATGTATATGTGGTTTTATATATTACATATGTGATTATATATAATCATATATACCATACATAAGAGTACAGAAAATTGGACAAATAGTAGGGAGTATACATGGGGAAAGGGATCTAAATCCAATCGAAATATATTGTATGAAATTAGCAAAATTTCAATTAAAAATATTTTAAAAATTAAAAATCAAAAGAATATTCTTTTACCCTACTTCCACACTGCCCAGCCAGACGGTTTTCTTGCTGATGCTTGTAACCAAACTCTTGAGTTGTCTATATTCACGGCCTATCATCTCTGCACTTGCATTTCGAAGGAAGACGAGGACAAGGAGGAAGAAGAGTCACACTGTGTCCTTGACAACATGATGTTGGAATTCAACTAGGCTAACCTCTTATGCACACCCACTCCCTTGGTAATTTCATCTAGCCACATGCCATCAACTCCCAAACTTAACAGCTTCAGTCAATACATTTCTCTAAAATCCAGATTCAGCAGTCTAGTTAAACATAATATAGACACTCAAGGCCAGCATATCCCTACAAAATCCTATATTTTTCCACAATTTATGTGTTTAGACATCCCATTTCAGTTTACAACAGATTTACCCTTCCAGACCAGATTTTTAAAATCATCCTTGGCTCTTTTATTTCATTCATTCTCTTGGTATCTATCCAGCAGAACTTTTGTAGGTTCTAGTTCCAAAATATATACAGAGTCATATCATGACCCATGATGTTCATGGGTACCACTTGGATTATTACAAGCCATCCTAATGGTATCCTCTTGCTTCTAGCTCTGTTGTCCTATAACAGCAACACAGTAGTGAGAAGGATGTCCTTAGTTCTAAGTCAGATTATATCACTCTTTACTCAAAATGCCACAATGGAGCACATCACACAGAGACAAAAAAAAAACAAAGTCCTTACATTGGCCTCTAACTTCTGTTCTGTCTCTGACATCATCTCCCAACATATCCATCATTGATCTTTTTCTCTAACCACACTATTTTTCCCCTTAAAACAGAATTTCATTAAAAAAAAAAAACTCCCTTTACCTTCTGCCCTAACCTCTTGGAAGTTAAACATTTGTTAAAGATAGGGAGATTTTTCAGGGGTGGGTGCTGCTTTGGAAGAGACAGTGAAGCAAGAACGTCCATATCTTTATATTTACAGACAAGTCTACCTCTCCACACTAATCAAAGAAGCTTCTTCTCCCAACAGAGGGAGACTATTATGACGTTTAAGAACTGTTCAAAACACAGAGAATAAGTGACAATGAGGTGCTTAGATGTAGTGATAAATCTACAATGCAACCTCTACACCCAAGGCTCAGGAAACATCACAGTAGAGGGGAGGAAAGATTGTAAGAGCCAGAGGGACAGGATACCTGCTCCTGGTTAATGCATTCTAGACATGATAGGGAAGCTATGGCAATGGAATCTGTCCATCCATCCATCCATCCATCCATCATATGGTAGTCTAACAAGATCTGAATAATGACAAAACCAATTGACATGCTATGGTGGATGGGATCCCAACTCTAGATGAAGAGCTACAAGCAATCAATGTATGTTAAGGGAGGCAGAATCAGTTTTCTCCAGGAACAAGGTCCCTGAGAGGTTACCTAATCCCAAGTGGATAGCCCTAAAACACATGCACACATGAGCACAAGTAAGTGCATTATATACGTATACTGATAAATGTCTACATGTATGTGTAACAATAACAATCAAAGAAGAGGATAAGAAATTGAGAGTTGGGACATGAGTGAGTTGGAGGGGGACTAGAAGGGATGGAGATAATGCAAATACAACGCTCATGTATGAAATTCCCAAAAGGTTAAAAATAAAGTAAAACCCTCTTTCTAAAGCATCAAAAAAGTAAGGATTGAGATTAAGAGACCTGAATATTGGTCATAGAGATACGGCTCACAGGAGCCAGACGCAGAAACGCTTTCAAATTTGTTTTTGCCCTTGCAGCTTTCAGTCCACTCTTGGAACACTTGGTTAGTCTAGCTTTTTGGCTGTACCTGTTCAGTGAAGCCAAAGCAATACTTAGAAGTCTCAGTTCTCTGAGTTAAAGCTCAAAAAGACAGGTCTAGACTTTTGAGTCATGTTTAATTTAACAAGGTAAAAGAGTAGGCGTGCTATCATATCAAATTCGATTTGTACAGAAATCATCATCTCTGATAGCATTTCCTGGTCTACAGCGTTTAGACTACTTTGACAAGCCTTGATCTCCCTGTCTGTCTAAACACTGATTCACTTACAGTAGGCTTTGCGTTGGTATCGGTCATGTTAACACCCAGTAAATCCACAGGGTGTTAATTTTGTATAAAAGGTGATGTGACTTGGTACAGTCTCCAGCTTTCCCGAAAACAGACAACTGACCACAGGTGAGTCTCGGCACTTCTGAAACAGGGAAATCTACTTCTGAAACTGTGGGGTTTTAGGAAATAGAGAACGATCCGGAGCCTTGTCACTGCTGTATGGAAATATGTGCTTATCAAATTGGCTTCTTAAGTATGGTCAATGAACTGTCTTCAGGAATCTGACCCCATAGACAATATGCCTGGCTTCTTGAGTAATCTCACCTTCCACAAATAGAAATAGCAATGTTTATAAGGTGATAAAAATGAAGCCATAATTTTGTTGTGCAGAATTTTCTTTTTAAAAAAATCTGTCTTTAAAAATGTTAATGAATGGACATATATACTGATCACAATTAACTGCCTTTAAAATGCTAAAGATATTAATCTTTAAATACTACTCTAGTCAAATCTGTTTCTATGTCTACACCACCCTAAAGGCTGCCACAAGAAAAAGGAAAAGGAGTAATGTTATTGTTCTAGAAACAAAACGTAAAAAGTCTTCCTGAAGTAAAATGTGACTGGTGAGGATGACTAGACTCATTACTTTTCTGATGGTCATTTTACACAATGATTTTAATAATTTGATTTCTATTTCTAACAGGACACAAGTGCTTGCTTCCCAGCCCAGGATGAAGTCTTTCCAGTTTTGTGTCCTTTTCTGGTTCTGGAGAGCAATGTATTGCCACAGCTGTGAACTGACCAACATCACCATCACAGTGGAGAAGGAAGAGTGTCGTTTCTGCATCAGCATCAACACCACGTGGTGTGCAGGCTACTGCTACACCAGGGTAGGTGCTGTGCACTGCTGGAGCTGGAGACATGGGGTTGGGGGTACTGGATGAAAGAGACTCAATGGATTCCCACTTTGTCAACATTTTAAATTCCCTAAGCAATAGCTACAAGTTCCCTAATCAATACTGTCTGTGTTTTAATTGGGTTTAGTAGTGAGGATGTCAGTTTGGAACTGGGATTTTTATGTGGATGTATTTTTTAAAAATCTTAGAATTGATCTGGTCAATAAGATAATATACTAACTCTGTATTTCCAAAACTAAATAATTTCTATGCCAGATTTAATGTGTAGAGAGATAATAGGGAAACACACATGCCTTTAATCGTAAAGGAACTACAATATTCCCTAAAAGGCGATGTTTGTAATTAAAATCTTATCTTTGACATAGAAGTAATACCAAATATGTATTGTCATATAAAAACACAAATAGCATCTTATAAAAATTGTCTTTAGACCTGCTTGCATACAAATACCAACAAGCAGCCTGAAAACACCATCAACCCTCAGACCATTAAAAGGAAAATGAACGCAGAAACCCTCTGCCTTTTTTATCCCTTTGATAAAGCTGAAACACAGAGGCAGTACAATAAGTCGCTGGCCTCAAGCCTCAGCTTCTTTGCATTAATCCAAGTAAAGAAACAGTCTCCACCTGTCTCCTTTTTTAATGTATTACCTGATTTTCTATGCAGAATTTCATCTCATAAACTGAAACCTCAAAGTAGAACTTTTTAGTGAACTATTCTTTATTTGATGATAAAAGACTTGCTCAAACTCCATTTAATGTCACATAAAAATGTAAATAGTATCTTACAAACATTGTCTTTAAACCTTCTTTTTTATTTATTACTTACTGCAACTTTTCTTGACATATAAATTTGGCAGCATGCTACTAAAACAAAGTAGTAGTCTTATTTTTTCCCCTCAGTACAAATAAATTTTCCACTAGAAAGTGCTAGAATGAACAATTTTTGCTTTTAAAAAAATCTTATATGCAAAGTATAAAACCTTTGAATCTGACATCTTTACACAGTATACAGCATTTAAGAGGGAAAAATTCTCTACCAAGCAATGGACTGTTTAGCATCTTACATGAGTGTTAATGAATATAATTAAGCATTAATAACCTTCTCTTTTTTACTTTCTTATAAACACAACAGTACAATATATTTGGAAATATTGTACTGTAGTGATCATGGTTTAAATTGTAATTATTACAGATTTCAATTAAGTACAAAAAGGCAGTTTAAGGTTCTATTTCTCTTTTTATCATTTATCTATATTGAAATTCAAATTTTTGATAGCATCATAGAGATTATGAAAGAAATAACTTATATTTCTGAAAGATTTCTAGAACAGTCAGGAAATGTGGTATAGCATATAGGTTGTTTAGGAGGTTTTGTGAATTTTAATGGGTAAATGTGAGAGCATGCAATATTAAATTATTGTGTCATTTTGATAAAGCTAAACAGAAACTTTGAAATATTGTACCTAATCCTCTCCTTCCTAAATGCTTCAGGATCTGGTGTATAAAGACCCAGCCAGGCCCAACACCCAGAAAATATGCACCTTCAAGGAGCTGGTGTATGAGACTGTGAAGCTGCCTGGCTGTGCTCACCATGCAAGCTCCCTCTACACGTACCCAGTAGCCACTGAATGTCACTGTGGCAAGTGTGACAGCGACAGCACTGACTGCACTGTACGAGGCCTGGGGCCCAGCTTCTGCTCCTTCAGCGAAATGAAAGAGTAAAGAACAATGGACATTTCACCCACCTTTGTCCTGAAGGACCAAAACCTTTGTATGTCTGTACTGTGCCCAGGCTGCCAACCATGGGCTAGGGGACCATCTGACCCACTGGTCCTTGCAGACAGGGAGGAGGAGCTCGGGATTGGGAGCTCGGGGGCTAAGACTCCATCACCACTCAGCCCCATATCCATAATGTTGGTTCCCTAAGTTTTATTCACTTTGAGTTCACAGATTTGTGGGGGCTTTCCTCTTCAATAAACTTGGGAATCTAGGGAAATTCCCTGCTTTTAGACAGAGAGATGCATGAGTCCAAAGTGGAGGAATGAAGATGTGAGTGGATGAAAGAATGAAACAGAGACTAGACTTCTGAAGCCTCTAGAGTGAGGCTGGCATCTTTGTCATGGTTACAACCATGAGAGTCCACACTCTGTGTGGAATTTAGTGAGAAATTCCATGGCTTCCTTAAAGTAAGACTAAGCTGGTGAAATATAGGGCAATGCTAACGTGTGGCTGGCTGATGAAAGCCTTTCCCAGCAATGCCAGTCCCAGTCAACTGAAGCTTGTGGAGTATCCAGGTAGGATTCATCTTTCTGTATTTCTCCTTGCAGATGGGGGCAGAGAAAGGGTACACAGCTCAGGACCTCTGAGGTATTGCTACCAAGCTGTTTACCTAAAGAAAAAGAAAAAAATAGTTCATTTGCAGCTGGCATTTTAATTCACACTTATCCATTACTTTTAAAATTGATCGAATACTGCTAGAGTCCTGCAAAACTCCTTTTAGACATGAAGAAAAATAAAACATTGATAGTTTTGACAGGGTAGTATTACTGATAGGTGATCTCCCTAGCATACTCTCATTTGCAACAAGGGAAGATTTGGAAGTAAGTTTTGAAGCAATCTCAGCAGAAAAATAATTATATTTAGCTTACCCACAAATATATTTGTGTAAATGAACAATTAGAAGGAATTAACCATGATGGGGGAAGAACTGCCACTTCTAGGATCCTGTACATTTTCTCCTTTGTCTATCCATCTTCTCCCAAATCTGTGATCCCTTTCAAGAAGCAATATATTGAAATTACTTCGTGGATCGGTTTCTCTTAAAGGTGTCTGCTTTTCCAGTTAGCACCCATTTCATACCTATGATTTTAATTAATTTATTCAAATCTTATTTTTTTAATAAAAATACTACTTACTACTTACAAGAGTCAGAATTTGATTGTTTCGTGTTCAGATAACTTACATGCTGATATGTTTACAATATTATTAGGAAAAAAAAACCTTTAAATATTATTCTGTTTCTACAAATATTACCTACCTTTAGAAATGTAAAAAAAATGTTTTTGCATTTCTAAAAATATTTTGTCATTTAAACTTCCTGTCACGTTTTGCAGTTGTTTTATGTAATGTTGGGAAAAACATAGAATTCGGAGTGTACAGAGGCACTGAAGCTTCTCCAGTTCCTTTCTTGAATAGCAGAGAGGGAGGAGCTGAAGCTCAGTGATGTGAACTGAACTGAGCCACACAAGACCACCGACTTGGTTAAATGGGTCTTAGATAAGGCGTAAAGAACAGAAATGTATTACCCAGTTCTAGATACTGGGAAGTCCAAGATCATGGCACTCCAGATTCAATACCTAATAAGGACCCTCTCTTTGCTTCAGAGAGGGTGCCTTCTTGCTGTATATTCACAGGACAGAAACAGCAGGGTCCTCTCTCAAGCATTCATTATGATTTCATTCATGGAGGCTCATCTGTCATGAGATAATCACCTCCTCAAGGCCCAGCCTCTTAATAGCAATACTTAGTTTGAAGTTTGGAGGCATTTAAACATCCAGAACAATCACAAAGATTGCTCGCTTCAGAACCAGGATTAGAACCCTAGCCTCCTAGTTAGGCCAGCTCTCCTTTGAATGTTCCACCACACATAAGTCATTTTGGCAAGAAGTGAAACAAAATGATAGTGTTATGAAAGTTCAAAAGGGGGATACTACAGTATAAGCAAGAAGGAGGTAGCGGGACAGGGGAAATGAGCCAGCAGGCAGGGAGGGTCACCCACAATGAAACGGATGTGGAAATCAAAACATAATTTATATTTAAAAAGTCTGACGAGAGATACCCTGCATGGCTAGAAATAGCTACCCTAGAAGATATAGGTTATTAAACAAAAATCCCAATGCCAGAGATGGGATACCTCCTTATGAGTTCAGTCAGGGAGGGTCCCAAAGGCTCATAAATAATACATGCTCTTATCATCCCTCTTGGTTGCCCACAAGAACTAGATGAGAAGACCTTATTGCTGAAGACCCTACACACCTTGGTGGCATGATAAGCAAAGTCAAGATGGAACCAAGCAAGAAACTTCTTCCTTACTGGCTAGTGTTCATAGTCCCAGAAGGTGCAATGCAGACTGGTTGGGGGGAGGGCAGGAATCAACAGTCTTACCTTGCTGTTAACCCTACAGACTATGATAAGAACCTGTCAAGCAAGGTATGCCCACGCATGCAATAGTAACACTACTGGTAGGAGGGCACCGACTAGTCTTTGTTGGATTTGAGGCCTGCTCCATGGGGAAGCACCCATGGTAAGAGGTGCCATATACTCTAAAGGGGAATGAATGCTGTTGTTTAGCTAAACTGACATAGCATCAAACTGCCTTCCAAATATATTTATGTGTATCCATACACAAGCGCTACTCTGAGTCTTAATCAAAGAAGCTTCTCTTTCCAGTAAACAGTGGTGAAAGCAGAGATTTGGCTGCACAAGATGCTCGGCTCCAGAGTTGCTTATCCAGTCTTCTTAAGCAAAGGTCATCTTCATCAGTTACTTAAATTATCTGGATTTGGCTTCTGCAGCTATAAATTAAACATAATATTGCCTACTTCCAAGAGGTTATGTTAGTAAATAAATGAAAAAAAATGTGTACAAAGGACCTAACAGTTGGCACTGGCAGTCAATTCTAACTCAGAAACTATAAAATAACTTTATTTGAGGTCCTCAGAATGGCATTGTGGGATACACATAATTCAGCTGGGTCAGAATCAGTGATCCGAAGTAGGAGTTTATGGGAAAAATGTTCATAAATCATTACAAGGTAACTAAAGTTGTATTGAAGTTGGAAGGGAGATCATGGGCCGCTTGGCAGGCAAATACCACTAAAAGAAGAAAGAAGGAAATACACAAACTGAACCAGAATGTCCTTAAAACAAGATCCCACAACCCCTTGAGGTGCACCGTGAGTGTGCACAATGTGCGCAGCTGGTCACTCCAGACGTTTGCAGGCAGAGGTTGGAAATGATCAAACTCACTCTGTACAACAGCTTGAAAGATGAGTCCTTGTCCCTTAATAGCCTCCCAAGCTCATCTGGAAAAGTGTTCACTGTTGTTTCTATCATGAACCCTTTCTCCTTACAGCAGCACACAACGTCTCAATACATCCTAGCAGTTACTCACAGAAGGAAACCATGTAGCAAGATGGAGGACTCCAGTTAAAAATAACTCACACCTCAGATTCTCTCTAATAATCCTGGGCAACCTAGCCAACTACACTAGGATTTGCTTTTTTTCACTTTTGAAATGGTGATTGCCCACAGGGCTTCTGTAAACATTTTAAAAGCCAATGCACGGGAGTAAAGTTTAGGAGTCCGCTATAGCTGATGTGAAGAAGCTATTTTAAAGTGTAGATAAAAAGGTAAGAACAAAATGATAAGAAGAACCAGAAGTTTCTGCTGGAGCCATCTTCAGGCAAAATGTGAACTTTCTATCTTTTCTGAAGCAGCAAGAACTTTTGAGGTCTCAGCCAAGAAAAGTCCTGTTCCCATGGGGTGCCGCTGTAGTGACTGTCCATCACATCTTTTCTTGTGAGCATTTTGTATTTCTTTATATTTTTCTGCTGTGGTAAGATTCACTGACCAAAAGCAACTTAGAGGGAAAAGACATCTGCTTTGGCTTGGAGGCCCAGAGGGACGGATTTCATCGTGATGGGCATGGAAACCACAGAATGGGAGGCCAGCCTGGCAGGCAAGAAGCACACAGGAGACAGAGAGAGAGAAGGAAGTAGGGCCAGACTGAAACACCCCAAAGCCCACCTCCAGTGATGTACTTCCTCTAGCAAGGCTCCGTCTCCTACAAGTTCCATAACCTTCCCCAACAGTCCCAGCAAGTGGGATGTGCTCAAACACAGGAGCTTATTACAGAGGCCATTTCTCTTTCAAACCACCACATGTCTCTTCAAGCTCTGAGTAGCTTCACAGTGATATAGTCACAGCTTACCAGGCCTATTAACAAATAAGACTCTGTGCTGTTTTCAGAATAAAATCCCAACCCTGTGTTGACAAATGAAGTTGGCCATAGTCTGAATTCTGATTACCACTCTAATCCCTTATCTTTCCCTCTTCTCCCAACTCCTACCCCAAGAAGCCACTGAACGTGGAGACTAGTTATGAAGATGGAACAGCTTGACTGAATTTCACCAGAATTCTATGCCTTTCATCCTACATGTAATTTGTCTGAATGTGATTGGAAATGGATAAGCCAGTCAGCAGTATTTGTGAGGCCAGGACATAATATACACTGAGTTCATAATAGTAAGAAAAGAGAAACAGGAAAAAGCAAATGTGGTGAATCATGCCTTTAATCCCAGCACACAGGAGGCAGAGGCAGGTGGATCTAGCCTGGTCTACATACTGTGTTCCAGGCCAACTGGGGCTATAGGAAAGCATTGTCGTGGGGCGGGGGGAGGGGGGCAGAGAGAAACAGAGTGAAACAGAAATTGAAACGAAGAGAAAAACTTAGGGAGTCTCAAACTATACCCGTATATAAACACCTGGAAAAGACTATGGAGGCATTTATTAGAGTCTTGCTGGTATATTAAGTGCTTGCTAATTATCTGACAAGGCATCTTATCTGAACCTCAATTTTATGCCTAGTATAACAAAGGTAAAATCGCATGATTGTTCATTTTAATTGTTAACTTGGCACATCCTAGAACCACCTAGGAAGAG